CTTGTTTTTGTCTGTCTCCTTCTCTTCATTTTAACCATCTTCAGGAAAAAAAAAATATTAAGGATGGTAGATTTTGCACGAGTACAGAAGGAGCTGCAAGAATGCAACCGGGATTTTGAGGTTTCGGGCATAAAAGTTATCCCGAAGAGTGATGCTAATTTGGCCCACTTGCTTGGTACAATTCCTGGTCCGCTCGGTACTCCATACGAAGGTGGCTCTTTCAAGATCGACATCACTTTGCCTGGTACCATCTAGTTTACTCCATAATTTATCTGTGGGTTTTAGTATTCTATTGGTGGGCTTTCAGTGTTATTTTTTTATGAATTATTTACGAAAAATTAACTATATTGGCTTCTGGGTTTTAATCGAATTTTGTTTTTCTTTACAGATTATACTTTGTGGGGGTTCTGTCTCAATTCTCATTAGCGTTCTTGAATCTTAAGGACATATATATTAACAAGTCTTCTGCCTATGTTCTAATATGTCTGTTGATGGACTCTCAATGTTATTTCGTCTATTCACAATTAACTTTTGTAGGTTATGGGTTTTAAAGCGAATTCTTGTCTTCACAGATTATACATTGTGGGTGTTCTGTTTCATTTTTATTTGGGTTTTTGAAATGTAAGGACAAATCATATTAATAATTAGTGTATGTAATCTGTTGTGTTCTACCTGTACCGGTAGATTACTAGGTTTAGATATTTGGGTGGACAAGAGTTAAATCTTTGGGTTCTACTTAATGAGGACATTTCATCCTCTTCGATCTATGGCTTTTGTTGTATTTAGGCGTTATACAACATGTTTGGCAAGATGAATTGGATTGCACTAAACCGTAGTAATAGAAAAATAAGTTAATTTTTTATCTGCTCTACTGGGAACCAAACGTATACGCTTGGTTTCTTTTTTTTAACTTCTCATTTTCTGTTTGGTTGTAAGCCGGAATTTTAGCGGTATTAATATAAATTAAATTATCGGTAGACTTTGTACTTCAAACATTTTTAGTTCATTGGTTTTCATGGAGGCTACATTGCAAAGGCCTGTAGACCCAATTCAGTCTTTTTAGTGTAAGAAAAATTACTTTGCATATGCAGGAAAGCCACATGTACTCTGAACTATGTATTTCTTTGCCCTCTGTTATGTTGTTATTGCCAACATTTCATTTCCAAATCATCACAAAAGGTGCATCATTTCAGAATGTCAACACTTCTTGTGTTGCAATTTCCAATCATTCCTCGACATGGGTGGAACAAATTTAGTATAAAGTGACCATTACCTCCTTACGTGTCTGTTTTGAATTTAACAAGGCTCATATGAGGGAATAAAACTAGAATGTCATTGTGATTACACTGCATAAAAAGTTGGCTTTGTAAAATTCTCCTATGGAGTATATGTTGAAATGGGTATATACGAAAAGAGATTAGTGGAGGCTCAATCACGGAACATTTATTGATTAGGCACAATATATATAAGGAACTTGTTTGAGGAAGAGAATTTGGGGCCCACTTGTATCAAGAGTCATGAAGGCAAAAGTGGCGATGAAAATTGGGGAAATTTTAGGAGGAGATTCTTTGTTTCTTACTCATCCTTGTTCTCATCTTTTACCATATTTTGTTTTCTTAGTAACTCGAAAAGAGAGGGTTAAGATATAATGCGAAGAGAAATGGTGCTTAGTCTGCCTTCTAGTTTGAGAGGTGATAATTTTTATCCTCTTCGTGTTGAAAGTAAGATGCCTGCATTTTTGCGCCCTATTTTTATTTATTTATTTATTATTTTTATTTTTTGTGTACTACGTGCAATTGATAAGTTGTTAATCCTTTTATTTCTTCATTTTTTCTTTCAAAGGGACCCTAAATGGTTCTGTTTGTTTTACATTTCTGACATTAATACCCTATTTGTTACTTTGAATGTAAGATTTCATACATCCCATTTATTCAGTACTTAATTGTGCTTTCTTTTCAGATGGATACCCTTTTGAGCCTCCCAAGATGCATTTTGCCACTAAAGTATGGTATGAGAAGCATGTCGTTCTGTACTGTCTCTTCTTTTATTGCGGATGATTTATATAGTAGTAAGATGAATTGATTAATGTTGTGCATGCAATCTGTCTTTTATTGCTAAGAGGCTTCTGTGTTAGTGGATGGAAATAAAGAGTAGACTTTGATGGACAATTTTAACTTGTCTGACCAGCAAGTTTTATGATGCTTATGAGTCTTTTTTTAATATAATAATAAAAAACAACAAAAAATTCAATGCGCACAAGATACAACTTTGTTGACTTTGTCGATATCTGCGCATGATGTTCTTTCAGTTAAAGATTCATGGATTAATGAGTAAAACCATTTATTGCACATATATTAGAAGCTAAAGTCTTAGTTTCATACTTCAATTTGAATTTCGATTAGCAAATATGAAATATAATTCTGCTGATCCAATGCTTAGGAAAATGTACTTCTCAGCACACTTTTTTTTTCCTCCTCATTGCTCGATAGTGCTGGAAGTTTTTGTAAGTAAGCTCCCATTAATCATTTACACTTATATGTTAATTTCATACCATAGGCATCCTAACATAAGCAGTCAAAGTGGAGCAATATGCTTGGATATCCTGAAAGACCAGTGGAGCCCAGCACTCACTTTGAAGACAGCACTCCTTTCAGTACAAGCATTACTCTCTGCTCCAGAACCTGATGACCCCCAAGATGCTGTTGTAGCACAACAGGTCCTCCTCACGTCGACCTTGTCCTTTTAGATATTCTTGCTTCCAGCAAGAATTTATCAAATTACTCTGCTTGCTCTGCATTTATGCTTGTTTTTGTTTTCGTTTTTTTTTTAACTCTCCCTTGTCAGCTGCTGATTAGTCCCTTTAATTTTTTGGCACATTCCAGTATCTTAGAGATTACCCAACATTCATGGGCACTGCTCGTTATTGGACCGAAGCATTTGCCATGACCTCATCTCTTGGTGTTGAGGAGAAGGTTGGAGGAATTTTGACCTTTTTTGTTTGCATTACATGTTTTCTCATGTTCCTCACATTCTTTTCTTTATCCCCAATTTTGTTCCTGAATGCGAGGCACTTTAACAAAAGAAGAATCTGGAAAGAAAATGATGGTTGAAAAAAGTTGTCTACTTTTTCAAGATCATGAGATCTAGTGACTCGACATTTTGTAATACGCAAAAACATTTTCGGTCACATATGTTCCAATTACGAAATTTATTTTAACAGGTACAAAAGCTCGTGGAGATGGGCTTCCCCGAAGCTTTGGTTAAGAGTACTCTGGTGAGTGTTAATGGCGATGAAAACATGGCTCTTGAAAAGCTTTGCTCTGGCTAGCATGAAACTATTGTTGCTCCGAATGGTAAATGGTATACAAAACTACAAAAGCAGATTATAAACAATACATTCTTCAATCAGTACTCTGGTGTTTTTCTTGATATTCTTCTTTCGTTTGTTGTGTACTCTTCTCACGCTGGGGAATACCAGTGCTGCTAACTCTAATGAAAATCAACAAAATTTCTTCTGAGGTGAAATTTGAAATCTCCCAGGCATGCCTCACTTTGAAAGATCAATTATATATGTTATGATTTATTTGTATAATGTTGTTAGGATGCTCTTGAGGTATAGCCCCATCCCGCCCCTCACCCTGGCTCCAGTGTTACTAGGTTTGGTGTGAACTATGAAGGGGAAAGGCCATGAAGGTTATCTGATTTTGACTGTTGGACACTGAAATTGGTGTGGTTTTTAGTGGAGAGAGCTTATTTCATTATTCAGTCATCTTGAAAATTGTTTTATTGAATGGATTTGGGGAGTTGACATCTGTTGTCTTCATTTTGCTTTTCCTTTTGAGCTTTCCTCTAAATTTTCGACACGTCATTTCAAGGGTTATGTCAATAGTAGGTTTTTGTGTTAGCATCTTCTCATTCACTAATGAGAGATGGACCATAAAGGCGTAAAAAATTTGGTAGGGGAATAGCAAAATGGGGACAACATATCTGATCCCGGATTTTGGTACTTCTATTGTATGTTTAGTACACAATACTCGATTGTACTAGACATTGTTAAAGATGGAAAAAAAGTTAATTTTTTT